ATGATGTGTGGTATGTATTTGATTCGGTAGCTGTACTTGTTTTAAGTAGATGATGATATGATCAAGTAAATTTCACAAGTTGTCCACTTTGTTAAGTAAAAGGCTAAAGGCTAAACCTTTAGTTACTTCCTTTTCCCCCTCTAAAATGTCTTTCACTATATTACACTCCATACTGCATTGTCTAAGAGGATGAGCCTTTGCCTAGTGCCCACCAAGTCCATTCACCATGGTTCATCTCTTAGGACAGTCAACATGCTGGGCCTAGTCTTTCTGCAATGGATAAATTAGCCTTGTAAAACTTTGTTCATAATAATGAAGATGCCTTTGCGTGTTAGGTCGGATTGCTTTGGATGATCTAACTCTAATTCATGTACTCCTGCTATTGCATAGATGACACGATAAATAACCCTGGTAGTTTGTACCCATGACTGTGAAAAAGTATTTAGCAAAGTACTTCTTGTCAGGAAATTACAAAATCCCCTTGTGACGTTGTCCTTAGCACAGGAGTTGGTTCAGGTTGAGTTGACTGGTTTTTGGATGGGTCTATAATACTTTTTATTTTCAAAAATATGCGTTAGACTTTTTTGAATTATTTATTTTGCTGCTATTGAATTGAAAAATAACTCCAGTTACGACTGATAGGTGGTCAACAAACCTCTTATCTAATTAGACAAATTTGGCAGGCCAATTTCTTTTCCTGTTTGCAGCTCTACTATCTTTTCTTTCCTTCTTTGTTTGTCTCTGCTTCTCTTTCTTTTTCCCTTTATTCTACATCTATTATCTGCTGGAGTATATCTTCAACTATGTATATGTGGCTACTTTTGCTAAAATCTAATAACTTATTTTTCAATTTGATATCTTTGGTTGGTTTAGTCCCGTGTTTCATTGTACATTTAACTTTAGGCATGATGATTTTTGTAGCCACCCTGAAATCGAAATTTTGTTAAGTAATCTAAACTCAAGGTCCGATTTAACTTTATGAAAGCTTTATAAACTTTTGGCAACAATGAAAAGCTTTATAACCTTGTGAATGCTGAGAACCCTTCACTTGAAAATTCTAAATTTAAGGTGAAGGATAAAGTGAACCCTTCACTTGAAAATTGTGGCTAGAATAAATAAATGAATTTTCAAAAGCAGATCGGCGAGCACCAAGTTTGGGTGCACCCTAAAAATCTAATCCATTGAGGAAATATAGATCACATTGAGAAAACATAAACCACTAGGTGGTGAAAGAAAAACACTGACAATGACCATGCAGATTTCTAGATCTGGGTACTAATTGTTAATGAACTAATAGTCTAATACTACAATAGATCTAGGAAATGATGATAACTTGTTCCACCATTCACCAAGTAAATTCTTCTGTGTTAAACTTTACAATTGTACATGTTCTTAGGGCAGTCAACGGTCTGTTTCTTTGCAAGAAAAAAAATTCAGAAAAGGAGCTTTTCATGGGAAATTAATTCCACGAGAACATAATTCTTTTTTATTGTAGGAAAATGAAAAGAAATTGAATTTCCTTTTCCTTTTTCACATTTGGAGAAAACCAAAAGTTGGTCTTCTTTCTTTCAGAAGTGGGGTTAACATATTTCGGAATGATTGAGATGGTTTTTTCCTTTCTGAAATCAATGGAGTTCAATCAAGCTTGAAAATGTAAATGATGTCATATATGGGCTGAACTTCAATGATGAAATATAAACCACATATGTGATCTCACCTCATACTTAGGTGAAGTTATGTGTGACAATGTTACAATGCCTAGGGTGAGGGAAATTGGGTTGGCCCCCACATATGCACATGCAACTGGACAGACCTCATTTTAGAACAATGATTTTGGATCTCCCATTGATTTTACCTTGATTTTAATCATATTTCATGATCAGTCAGTTCGGAGCTGGATTGTTTCTCTTTTCCTGTAGATAATATTATGGTCACCTTTCATTTGGAATTTATGGAACGTTCTGTAGAACGTTGTGTTTGATGCTCCATTTACAATACGGTAGTGTTTTCCTGATAAAGTTTCCAATTTACCATATGCTTGCTGTCATTGGAACTGATATTTGTTTATCATTGAAACTCAAATCATGTATTCTTGTTGTTTCTTTTGTAGCTAAGGAGCCTTTTCAAATTATTAATTTAATTTTCAGTAAAAATTTGCTTTAGCACTGCCTACACTACGCATTGCAATGTTCTTCCTGTTTGCTACTGCAGCTATGGATCTGAAACTTCACCGATTGGCGACTTATCCAAAGTGTGCCATACACTAGTACTGGACACACCCTCCTCTTTCTACTTATTCTAGTTGTTATTGTTGATTAAAATTAATCATTAGTTCATATTGTTTATTTTCAGCCTGAATATTCTTATGTGGATGGAGATGGGACTGTTCCTTCTGAATCAGCTAAGGTAAATATTTTATCAGCATTTTGTTGGAATAACACTAAAAAAGTTCCCAAGAATGAGAGTTGAGAATCTTGTAATGCCTCAGGAATATTCTTGCATGGAACAGCTAACTATGCCTTGGTTCATCCACTTCTTTTTGTATCTTTTTTTCTGAGTAATGTTTGATATCTTGTTCATTTCCGTTTTTTGCATGATAGGCTGATGGGTTCGCAGCAACTGCAAGAGTTGGTATTAAAGGTAGCCACAGAGGTTTGTTAAATGACGAGAAAGTATTTCAACTTTTGAAGCAATGGTTGGGTGTGACTGAAAAATCGAGGCACTTATCAACCTCCAAAGTGATGGATATAAATCCTGATGTCACCTTGGCTCATTTGTCTCCAAAGGATATTTTATGAAAACATTGTGGAAGAGAGAGGGGTGGTGTATACTGTGTCAAATTTAGAGTTAATAATTATAAACCGAAGTAGTACTGCACGTGAAACATACAAGGACATCATTCTTTTCATAGGAAAGTCCTTGTCTAATTATAACTTGAGACCACTGGACTTTCATCTGAGATCGGATGAACATCCATCATTGATGATATTGTCTGATACTGAAGTTTTGGTAAAAATGCCAAACATTGTAAACAACAGACAGTTTTATTTTTCTCTTTTTTACAGAAATAACACATGTTCGCTGCTGCATAAATCTTGTGGGGCAAAGTTTTGCTGAAGTGTCACTAAATTTTCCTCAGAAATCTGGTCGTTGGTGGTGGTGGTTAATAGTGATGTTTAGCAGCTGATGTTTCATACGAAGAACTCTAGTTAATGGTGGTTAACAAAGCCTTAATTATGTGATTATTTTCCCATTTGTATCCATCTTTAATCATAGTTAAAATGGTTGGATGAATAAAAATATGATTTCTAGTTTTTTTTTTTTTTTATTAATCTCTCGATCAAGATGACATCACGAAAGCTCCTTGATGATGTAAAGACCTGGAGTTTCTGATTCTGATTCCCTGTCCACGTTAGAATTTGTGAGAGAAGGTCGGCATGGCATCAGCTGTTAGAACTCCAAAAAAGTTGTTCATGGTTCGAGGTAGCTTCATGCACACATTCGAGTCAACCACGGAAAGCCAAAACTTGCAACTCTCTTAAACAGTTGTTAGTCTTCCAATTGGCAGAGAGTTGCCCCACGTGGTGATGGCGTTGCCACAAGTCTGGAAGCCACGCATCTTTAAGACCTCAAACAGCTCCTTTTTGGAGGCTAAAGATATCTCCTACCTCCTCCATCTTTCTGAGGCCACGCATCTTTTAAGGTTGGGTTGCTGCAAAAGAAATGGCGGCTGTGGTCAGAAGAAGAGAACAAAAAGGGCTTTTGTATGGCACGTAGCCAAAGACGGATGATGGGATTCTGGGCTAAATGCAATGTAAGGAGACCACCCAAGCCATTGGGGCTGTAAACCTAATTCAACGGGCAGACTAAGAAGGGGATAAAGATATCATCAGTCAATGGCTGCTGCTGAACGATGGTGGGAGGGAGCAATCCATTTGAATGCACAAACTGGATTTCTAGTGAAAGGCTTAGCTGATCATTCAGTGAGATCTCATTCATACTCTGCAAACTCAATGATCTGATAAAATTCTTTTTTTTATCTATCAGTTAGGCTAGACAAATATTTTTTTTGAAATTTACATGATCCTCCCAATCTATATTAAGTAAATCAGATGCCTCACTATCAAGCTAATATTTTTAAGTATAATTTTTTTTTTTTTTTGAATAAGACTTTGAATCCTAAATCCAAGAGAAAGTGAGTCTGGCTACATATTATTATGCTTCTTCTTCTTCTTCTTCTTTTTCTTTTCTTTTTCGAAATGGACAAATTTTTTTTATATATTTTTAATTTTGGTTGGCCTTTTTATACTTTTATGATGTCATAATGCGTGAGATCGACATTAATACATACTCTTTCAAATCTTGTTCTTTTAGTTTCCGAAGAAATAATGTTACGTGTAGGAACAAGATACTCTTTTGCTGCTGTTGAAGTGAGTTAGAGAGAGAGAGAGAGAGAGAGAGAGAGAGAGTAGTTACTAA